GATTAGAAAGGTTATTGCTATTTTTCTCAATGATATTTAGGGCAGCAGAGAAAAGGTATTCAGTGATTGAGCAAGAAGCGCTAACCGTCATTTTTAAATTAACAAAATGCCAAGAATATCTGATTGGATGCGGTTTATTATTTATACGGACCATAAACCGCTTATAGCTCCGGTTACAAAGATGGTTATTGCAGCGGGAAGTTTTGACGTACTAATGAAATAGCTACTAGGGAGATAAAATTATTTACCGGACATTGTATCTAGATGTGGATGGAGAGGATTTCGAAAGAAAAGAATAGGATGAGAAAAACGAACAAATATTGATCAGAACGATGGCCAGAATATCCAAAGGAGGGCCAGTGGCATGGAAGTAAATTAAAAAGGCGATTATAAAAGATCAAAATTGAAAATTAATGCGTGCTTACTAAGACGGAAAACTTTGCAGAATGGAGATTAAATGTTCAAATATATAGAAAGAAGTTGGCAATAATAAGTGAATTAGTGCGAGGAAGTCGGAGTGTTATTCCGTTCAAATTAAGGGAAGCAGTGATGGCATATTCATGTTAGACATCAAGGAATTGAGAGAATGAAACAATGGGGACGGGATTATGTGTGATGGCTGAGAATGAATATAGATAATATAAATATCAACCGAGAATGTGTTCGATAAAACTTCTAGGCTTTGAGGCCTCAAATAGATAAGAAAGGTTTGTGACCGAAAGCAACCCAACGGTGGGAGCATGTGCATATTGATTTCTTCGACTAAAAGCAAGATATATATTCGTGGTAGATGCATGTTTAAAGTGGGTGGAATATGAGAAAGTAAGAGGAATTGAAAAATCTATGGGCTAGAGTCGCTACAACATTCATATCGGATGGAGGTCAAGCTTTTATTAGTAGACAGTTTAAGGTCGTATTACAATAACAATAAAAAAAGGGAGGAGCAATCCCCGCGGAGAAGTTTTTAGGAAGACGAACTAGGTTTTGGTTGATTTCGCCTAGGCCAAGTGTGCAAAGAAGGAGGCTGACAGAGACAAAGGATGAATCTGAATTTATGGTAGGACAGATAGTATGGGCGAGAATACTTGGGGATAGCTAAAAATGGAAGTTGGGATTGATTTTAGAAAATATCGGACGATAAGTGGGTAAAGTAGAGTTTGCCTACAGAAGATAAGGTGTTCAAAACTCAGCAGAAGGATAGAGCCCGAAAAGTTGAGAGGGGTTTCAAGGTATGTAAGGGGCTAATAAAATTATATCTAAAAAATAGCAAGGAATTCCAATGGCTGTGAGACAAAACTGTATTGAGGATGTCGAGATACATTTGATAGTAGGACCAAGGAGGATGCCGGAGAATTGCATGTAGACAGGAATTCCTGAGGGAGGAAGACCGCAAGATGAGCAACGGAGATGCTATAAGTGCTATGCGACTGTCCCCAAGGGAGAATAAAAAACATGGATCTAGAGGGGAAAAAATGTACCAATGGAGGTAACAAGCAGAGAGCCGGAGGACGATATATCTTGGAAGATATTCGACGGTAGATCCCTGGGAGGCGAAGTAAAACAAAGGAGAGCTGGGAGCAATTCAGAAAAACGAAAGCACATGGGGTGACCTCACGCCATTAGGACTGGGGCGAGATTTGGAAGAGGCTGGGAGAATCAAAGAGGAGGAGAGGGAAGACGGATTGACCGCCATATATGTGACCAATAAGTTGGAGGACTTATTGGAGTATTTGGAATCTGACTCGGATTTCGATTTCGTGTTGGACCCTGGAGCAGACTAATAGAGGGGTGACGTGGGGTATTTTTAAAAAATCAATTTTTTTTCCCTAATAAATTATTATATTGTTGTTGTGTTATTTTTATTATTATTATCATAAAAAAAAATATATATATAGTACAAAAATGAAAAAAAAAGATTATTATTTCGTTTTCAAAAAACTTGTAGGAAGAAATAACATAAAAAAGTGGGAAAAAGTAAAATAAAAAGGAATAAATAAAGAAAAAGGAAACAAAGGTTTAAAATAGAATAAAAGGAAAAGAAAACAAAGGTAAAAACTATAATTATATTAATTTGAACTTTATTAAAAATTAGTCATGTTTATAATAATATCCATATTCATTATAACCATATTTAATTAACGAATATAATATTTCATAATGTATAAATATTATATTAAAATATGTCATATATGTAATATTTTTATTAGTCTTAAAAATTAAATTATGTAGAGTTATCGTTGAATATTATATTTACGTAAATTTATATATTTTTTTTACCAATTCATCGTTGTAAGGAGTAATATTATATTTTTTATTATTATTAATAAATATATATTTATTTTAATTTTAGAAATTATAAAAACCCAAAAAAAGAAAAAAAATCACAATTAATTTATCCTTTTTTTTTAAATTATTTTTTTTAAAAAATTATAAAACTTCTTGTATTGATTTCGCGAAAACCTTCAAATAAAGAGAAAAATAAATTTGTGGTATTTAAACATAAAACAATAAATTTATATATTACAAAACAGATATATGTCTGAACTTTCAATAACTGTTTTAAATTATCAGTTTTATGTTTTAATAATGAGATGAATAGTTTTGAACAAAAAATGTCTTATTCAAATTAAAAGAATTATTACGATGATATTTCGAAGATGTAAATTTTAAAGGAAAGTCTCATGACCCAAAAAAAGCACAACTAACTTTTCGAACATAAAATCTTCTTCTAGATAATATTTTTATTTTTCAATTCAAATCCAAGATTTTCACAATGAATATTTTCATAATGAATATTTTCATAATGAATATTTTCATAATGAATATTTTCATAATGAATATTTTCATAATGAATATTTTCATAATGAATATTTTCATAATGAATATTATTTTCATAATGAATATTTTCATAATGAATATTATAATGAATTTTTTCATAATGAATATTTTCATAATGAATTTTTTCATATAAAATAATAACTAAAAACAAACTATATTAATTGACGTTCCTTAAAAAAAATATTATTCGCAGTATTTTATTGTAAATTTCAACAACTGCGACACGCCCACCCCTCATAAGCCCAATATCCTTCTACACTATGAAGCTGAAAGTTTTCATCCCATTATCGCAATTTTGGTATGGGTCATTTCCTTTATTATTTATCTAATCTTACCTTTGAATTGTATCGATTTTTGTCCTGTTTTATCGTTCATTGTACTTTCGAATTGAAATTTGACATAGGAATTATTAGTTATAATATATTTATATGGAAATTATACTTTATGGGATATACTTTTTAATGTCACATATGAAGTGATTTACAATTATATTCACCAAAAAAATAAATCGTCTTATAATTTTATTGGTATTTTGAATATAATTTTGTTTTAAAAGGACATAATAAATGTACACGTATAATGTAAATTTAAAGAAAAAGAAACAAAAATAAATGAATGTGATTGACTCATCAATAGATAAGTATTTAGCTTACTAAGGGTCAATGTCCTAATACTTACACTATAAATTTTTATTTAAATTCCAGTTACATTACATAATATAATTTATTTTATAAAATAAAAAATTTATAAAAATATATCTACATTTTTTTTATAAAAGCTTTTTAGTATACATAATATAATATTTATATTCCCTCACTTTGATTAAGAAATTCGTGTAAATTTATGATTGTTTTATTTTTAAAAAATCAACCATGAAAATATAAATTTTAACAAAGTATACATAATATGTTAATTATAATTCCTCACTTTGATTACGAAATTCGTGTAAATTTATGATTGTTTTTTTCAGAACAAAAAATCAACGAAAATATACATAATAACAAAGTAATACAAATTAGGGGAACAAAAAAAATTGCGTATAAAAATACACAAATTCCAACCACAGCAATTATCAACACTGATAAAAAACTGCCATGTGCTTCAACATATTTCGGTTTCCCTTTTTCTGCCACGGTTTAATGATCTCAACAAAGTTCATAAAAATATAAGACGGAAATATTTTATGAATACCAAAAATATTTTTACCAAATTTCTTGTCCTTTAAAAAATATTTTTTTTATCTGGACCATTTTTTTACAAACTATCTGCCTTTTATCATAATTATATTCATATTAATCAATTTATATATATCCAGATATATAACTTTGATTATATCTTTCATGTCTTTTAATTATTGGAGAATACCAAATTTCTATCTAAATTTCGGAAAATCTCACTGATTATCCTTTCTATTAACCATTTCTGGTTTATCCTTTTTGATTTCATTTAAAACTTCTTTTAAATTAGTTTCCAAGTCAGATATTCTTTTTAAATCATTATTTGACACCACAGTGTATTTCATTAAATTATTATTTACCCTGGTCACTACCTCAGTACATTTCTTTATCAGAATTGTATATATAATGAATAGCACATAAAAAATAATATCGCAAATAAATAATCAATTTATCCTAAAACATTATGAACAAAACTCTTTATAAATGAAAATTTTAACAAAATTATTATGATATACATTTTATAAATTCAACTCGCCCTTTAAATTTAAATTTCTTTAATTTTTAATTCTTTTTATGATACTAAAATTTACTTGCCTGCAACCTCATTTAAAATCAGATGAATTCAATCGATATATTCTATGAATCCAACTCGCCCTTAAAATTTAAATTATTTTATTTTATTTTTAGTTTATTTTTATGATACTAAATTTCACTTGCTTAAAACCCTAACAATAATAATAATTGTCTTTTTGATTAATTTAATCATAAATATATACTCCAATATTCTTAATTTCTTTATGTTACAAACGTTAAAAAAAATATTAGCATTTTTCAAACTTCAACCAAAATTATTCCTTTTAAGTTAAAAAATAATAATATGAAGTTCTATTTTCCCTTTTAAGTAGGGTTAAAAAATTGTTTATGAATTTTATCATTACTTAAAAAATATTAATAATTCTAATATAATCAATGATATATATAACTATAGATTGACGATTCATTCATTCAATGCATTATAAAAGTGTCCACACATTGTAATCAGCTGTAGCGCCATTTTGTAGTTTGGTTATCCATTATTTGTCAGCAAGAAATATTAATATATAGAAAACAAGTCTAGTTTTAAAGGTGATTTATGATATAATATTTTATAGTATCTTTTATTCTTAAATTTTCATAAGACTTTTTTTATGAAGGTGGAGTAGGTGATTATATTTAAAAAATGAATCTAAGACTAACCCACCTTTTAATTTTTTAAAATATAGTTTAACCTAATCCTGCATGGACTTATAAATCTTATGTTAATGCATCTTAGGATACATGCAAAACAGATCTTATAATATCACTATCATTTATTATTTAATTAGATAATGGGAGTGTGCTGTGTTCATAATTGTAATAAAACATATAAAATAGAATCTAATACACATATTTCTTATCATAAGTATATATATTATTTTTTATATGCAACATATTTATTACATAAAGCATTAATAAGCTACAAACATTGAAAAAAAATCCTTATTTAGTAAAAATATAAAGTTTTCTCATTTTTATTGCTAGGACAAATAATGTTTCTTCCTATTGAGTTGATAAGATTTCTATTTTGAACTTTGCCTAAATATTTTTCTGGATAAAATATTAAGTTAGCCATTTTAAAATACATATTTACTATGATACAGTTTCATTTTAAATATTTGTAAGAAATATGTAAACCATATATATATTAATAGAGGCTCTGCCAATCAACAAATTTTCACTGATTCAATACTATATTACTAATAACCGGTCTGATATTTATATTGATTTTTATATACTATCTATCTTTGTATCAATGTCATAAATATATCTTATATTTTACTCAACCTATTTTTAAATATAGATTTCCATTAAAATCCAAAGAATTATTGGAAAAATGGTTACAGGCTATAAATAGAAAAAATTTTATGCCTAATAAATATAGTATAATGGGGGGTTAGTGATTCCTTCATCTAGTATGTCTATATTATGCCGAATTTGTGAAAGTTCATTTAGAACTTATCAAAATGATATTAAACGTAAAAATATTATTAAAAAAATGGAAGTGTTGGTTTTTTCCACAATAATTGGTACAAATATTTTTATTGATCTTACTGAACATATTAATGAACATGAGATTGGTTACAGCCATTTTCAAATTCTTGTAAAATTAATTGTTCAAAGGTAATCATTTATTAGTTTTAATACTATTTTTTTTAAAGATATTTAAATATTAGATTTTTCCATTTTGCTGACTTGAGAAACCAGGAATTGATAACTGGTATGAGACAAAATCTTACAAAAGCAATACAATTTAATAATCAAGAAGTCATGTAAATTAATATTTATATCTTCTTTTATTTTTTAAAAATTATATTGTATAAAGAACAGGCCTTATATAAGACATATTATAAAAATTATGATATTATATATAATCTATGCTAATGTAAATATATTTTATTTTTTATAGGTGATGATAGAATCAAAAAGGATGAATGTTTATAATCAAAGATAATATGAATGTGAATCATCATATTGTTAAAAATACATTTTGTTTTTTAAAGTGTACACATTTATATTTTTATATATTTATTGTATAAACCTTATTTAAATGATTTATATAATAATTTATACCCATGCAAAAAATGTTATTATTACACTATGTTTTTATTGAAAAAAAAATAAAAGATGTTTTCATTTGTCATTTATAATTAAGATGAAATAATTAAAACAAAAAAAATTATAAATGATTATTACAATAAAAATTAAGTGAGATGAGCTCTCAACCCATCTTTTAAGATGGTTTAACTTATTTCATCTAGAACACATAATCCAAAATAATTTTTAATTGACAGGATATTTTTTTATAAAATCTTATTTTCTTAACGTAATTAATTGATCTTCATCTACTTTTAGAGTATATCTTTGGTTCATCCTTTATAATAAAATTAATAATACAAAATAAAAATAAGTTAAAAAAGTAAGAAAAAAATTAACACTGATTTCTCTTATTAGTAAAACAAAATTTGTAGATTTTATTTAATTATATCTATACAGATCTCTTTTTTTATATAAATTTTGATTATTATTTTAAGGTATAAATTACTTAACTAAAATTAAAAGTACCAGCAACTACAATAAATAACGATGCATCATTTTTATTTATTAATAAGATATGAATCATAAAATATTATTATATTTAATAATAAGGATTCCATAAATGAACAATATGTGGATAGTAAGATTTTTTTTGAAACATCAAGTGAATTTGATAAAATTATAAAAACTAATTTTATAAGAAAAATTAACAAATATATATAAAAAAATAAATGATTTTGATATATGCAATTAATATGTATAAAATAAATTAGATTTTCTAATAAATAATTGGGGGTTAATGGTTGAGGAATGTTTAAAAATAAATTTATTTTTATAATAATATTAATCAAGTAGATAAATTAACTAAAAACTGATTGAAAGAAGTATTTTCTTGATTGAGTCATGTGATAAGTTTTTTTGGCAATTAAATATAGGCAGTGGACTTTATTTGGTTGAATATTTGAGGGTGTATTAGATATAAGTATGGAATATTTTGTATGGGTATAATTTTGGTGATTTTTGTTTCAGTGATATCGTAGCAATCTATGTTTCTGAATAATTTCTGGGTGAAAGTAATTTAATGATATTATATACTACTATTGGATTAAATGTTGAGTTTTTTTATTTTATAGAATACCAATGTAATTTAATTGAAGATCAGTTGAGGTTAGGATTCATTTGATTATTTTACATAATTACATTATTAACAAATTATTAGATATAAAATTGTTAAATTTTTAAAAATTAGTATTATTATTGAGGCATTTGATCAACGTACAAGCTACAAAATGGCGCTACAGCTGATTTCAATAGGTGGACGTTTTTTTATGCATGATCGCCAATCTATAGTTATATATATCATTGAATATAATCATCCTACAAAAATCCTTATTCTAAAAATAAAATCCTGGCTTCAACCAGTACATTGCGCTATTATTTATGATTAATTTTAATTAAAAAAAATTAAATTAATATGCATCTAAAAATATTTATTTACCTGTTAATTTAGGTAAATCCGTATCCCGAATACGACACATCTCAGGTCACGCGCACCATTCTCATGACCCAAAACATAACTAACTTTTCAAACACAAAATCTTCTTCAAGATAATATTTTTATTTTTCTATTCAAATCAAGATTTTCATGAATATTTTCATATAAAATAATAACTAATAATATAGTTCCTTAAAAAAAATATTATTTGCAATATTTCATTGTAAATTTGAACAACTGCGACAGAAAGTTATATATTTGTGATTTTGTGTATATAATTCACTTTAATTATTTATAATTTTTTACTATAATCTTTTAAAATCTTAATTTAATAATTGTACTTTATAATTTATTATTTTATTTTTAGATGAATAAAGGAAACCATTCATTATGTTATTTAGATAGAATGTATTATATTAAAATATTATGATATATATGAAAAACTATTATATTTATGAAAAAACTATTATCTTATATATAAATAATTTATTTTTTAATTTATATCCTATGAACTTTTATAAATTTTAATAAAGAAAATATAATATTTAATAGGACATTTTCTACATTTTTTTTAATGCAATATAATGGTAGATATTCATTTTATAAATAAAATTATATTTTAAGCGAATCATCGGCTGAGAATTAAGTTATTCCATCTTCGCTTTTTGTCAAAAAGGATTTTTTTGATAGATCTATTATTTTACATTAAAAAATTTAAACTTTAAACATATAGCCAGTATAAGATATTTATATTCTCTTAATGTTATTTTCAACTAATTTTGGGTGTCAATATATTTGAAATATGGCGGAAAAAAAAATAAATAAATATAAGATTCCCAAATAAAATAAGATTATATATTGTGATATATAAATTTTTCAAAAATGAACATTATAGAGAATCTGTAGTCAAGAAAATAAAAAAGATATAAGATCATACATATACTGGTATATTATTAAAAATATCAAAATGATACTGAGTACAAGATAGAAAAGGAACTTGTAGATATAACTATTTGGGGCAATGCCCAACTCTGGCAATAACAATTCTTGTATCAGTTTAACAACTTTTTTTACAACAATTACTATCTTTTTAATGCCTAATATTTAATCATATCATCAAACAGTACATCTAGCAATTATATTTATTTATAGCCCATTCATTTAGCAAATATTACCAAATTACAATTAATTTACTCAAACTTACCAATTATTTATTAACCCATTAATTTAATACCATTATTAAAATTCACTTAATCAAAATTTATCATCATCATCTAACATCACAATCAATGATCATAATATTATATATTTTTTTTGTTAAACATAGTTTGATTTAAAATATTTTCATTCATTATTAATTATAAAAATCACCATTCTACCTAATTGCATTTAACTCATTGCCATAAAATTATATGAGTAATAATATTGGGAAACTATTTTATAATTATAATTTTAAGATAATTTATTAAATCCAGTCAACATATAATTTATAACAGCAATCAATTATACCATTTTTTATATATCTAAGAACAAATATATAGATCTACATATGTGCTGAATAAAATCAGAACATTATCAAATAACTATCTCGTCATGAGAGATTTACTTTACAAATATATATCGATTATAGAATGTTGAAAAACTAATAATAATTTATATTTTTCATATGAAATTTATTTCTAACGAAGTACTTTAATAATAGTACATTACCTTTAATAAAGTAAGGACAACATCCCAACATACTTAATTATTTTTACAAAATAACTTACGATATTTATGCCGTGCCGTTGCAACAATTATTTTTAATTCACAATGAGCACTCTTATAAGGTTAATATATGGCAATATTTGTCAGCTGTCAATTTAAATTATCAACAAATAGAGATGACAACTTTAAATTATTTATTTTGTTTTAAATTTTAGTATCACTTTAAATGCTACCCATAATTAAAAAACCATAAAACTTATTATGGAAAACAAATATCACAACGGCCAAATTCATTTTTTCCAGGGAGAAAAGATCATCTGTGAAAGTAAATATATTTTTTATTCAATGCCTTTACTTTATGTCTTTTTATTAAATATATATAAATTTTTAAGTTAAATCATTTGATACAAAGTTACATATCATAGTATTTAATTTATACATTTATATTGTTTATAATTTACATATTGATATTATTTAATTGTCTTATATTACAACATTTTGACAGAATAGTCTAAATTAGATATTTCTTTAATATATCATTTTCTTTTTATATAATATTTATAAAATTTCCAACATTGCAAAAAGGCAACTACCAAAATTCTATCAGAGATCATAAAGATAATATGGAAAATAAGCCTGTTATTACTCAAATAGATGTTGAAGTTTCAAAAGTTCCTACAGAATATTTAGAATTCAATCATACTTCAATAGGTTTAAAAAAATTAATAATTCACTCAACTATGTCATCAGAAATCACAAATAAAGATATTGAAAGCTCATATGGAGTTAGCAATTTATTACAATTAAACAAAAAGAATGTTGAAAAAATTTTACCATCTAAATCTTTACATCAATCTCGTCACTTATCTTTAAAAACCAAAAGTAATGTAAATGATATTATGGCAAAAGTAAAAGCATTTTTGCCTCAATTAGCAGCCTCTAATAAATTATTAAAACAAGAACAACATCTGATTGTTGATGAAACCCTTGATAATCTTAATTATTCTTCTGTACCACTAACTACCAAATCTATAGTTGACATTATACCAGATGCAATTAAAACTGACTTAAATTTTAATGGGGAAATTTTAGAAAATTCATCAACACTAGGATTTGGATCTGAAGAGATAATTTTGAATAATGAAGGTTTGCAGAAGCCTTATGTTGATATGGATATAATTTTATATCCTGAAGATATTAGTGATGAAGATTCTGACATATCTAATGAAAATGATCCTGAAGATAATAATGATGAAGATTCTGACACATCTAATGAAAATGAGAATTGTGGAGTAATATAGAATAAATCTGCCTTTCTCTTATAGTCTTCAATAATAGAAAATTTTATAACCTAAAAATATATCTATTAATTTATATTACTAATCTATAAATTGTTTAGTGCTCACTTATTCACTTTATAAAGCTATGTAATATTTTTTTCAGACACAATATATTATAGCATCATATATATTAATTTGAAATTTTTATAAAATTATACCCAATCAAGGAAATAAATATATATATTCATTTTGTAAAGAATTTATTGCACAAAGTGAGTTTGAAGTTAAAAGAGTAAATTATAAAATAATATAAGAATTTGTTTGTGTAAGCAGTTTGTATAAAATGACAAGGTTTTTAAATTATTAGGACAATAAAATTAATTATTTTATTTTTAATGGTTTTATCTTTTTTAAAAACGAGTCTTCTCTTCTCTTCTCTTCTCTTCTCTTCTCTTCTCTTCTCTTCTCTTCTCTTCTCTTCTCTTCTCTTCTTCTTCTTCTTCTTCTTCTTCTTCTCTTCTCTTCTTCTTCTTCTTCTCTTCTCTTCTCTTCTCTTCTCTTCTTCTTCTTCTTCTCTTCTCTTCTCTTCTTCTTCTTCTTCTTCTTCTCTTCTCTTCTCTTCTTCTTCTCTCTCTCTTCTCTTCTCTTCTCTTCTCTTCTCTTCTCTTCTCTTCTCTTCTCTTCTTCTTCTCTTCTCTCTCTCTTCTCTTCTCTTCTCTTCTCTTCTTCTTCTCTTCTCTTCTCTTCTCTTCTCTTCTCTTCTCTTCTCTTCTCTTCTCTTCTCTTCTCTTCTCTTCTCTTCTCTTCTCTTCTCTTCTCTTCTCTTCTCTTCTCTTCTCTTCTCTTCTCTTGTAGATTTGAAGAGGCCCGATTAAGATTTTAACTTAAATAATATTACCTACTTGAAATTTGGGAAATAGAGGTCCAAACCTTTCTGCCATCTGTGAACAAAATCTGATTTACATATTATATTGGCTATAATTTTAATTGGGCCATGTTTAAAAATTAACCGAAATTGGGCATATTTAATAATACTAAAGTAGATACTCATATTCTGGAATTTATTTCTAGCAAATTCATAATTTATATATATAAAACGTGCTAAATAAATTTTTTAAATTTGGAAAATAGCATAATAATTTGAGTGCATTTTAAAAATTTAAGATCTGATTTTCCTAAAAAAGATTTATTTAAATATTAATAAGGTAATCCATAGCATATGTTGCCTCGATCCCATTAATATATATTTAAAAAGGCATTAATGACACACATGAGTTTATATGTATACATACTAATCTTATTTAGAAATATATTTAGAATTAAACCAATAAAACCAGGTGCCTTTTTTTATAAGCTAGAACCATATTCTAACATGGTTATATCAAATAATATCTTATAAACAGACGATTTTTTTTTAGAAATGAATGAATATATTTTTACAAATAAACAAATATGAAATTGCACATATTATTAGATCATCCTGTCAATTACTTATGTCCCTTCAATGGAAGCATCACCGGACTTTTGGGAGTTACTAATTTCCGATTAACCTTTACTGCCACCCAGAAAGTTAGATATTTTGTTTTGTTTTGTTTTCTTTTCACCTTCATTCTTTTTTTTTCGTAAATGCTACCCTTAAGCCTAAAACCAATTTCATCATTCATAATTGTATTGTTTTCCTTGTGGAACTTTATTTGAAATTTTTTTTATCTCCGCATCTATTAGGTTTATTAAAATATTGTAGTATAGTCGGCTCAAATTGAAATCTTTGCATCAAAATCAGATTTAAGGCCTTGTTTGATTTGTCTTCTTATTTCTAAACAGAAATCAGTTTAGTCGTCTATATAGCTTTCTCCACGCAGAATAGAAAGTAAGTGGATATGTAGATTTGATACCCACCTAAAACAGAATTGGATCTCCTAGTTCAAAATCTGATTAGACTGGTTTAAACAGAAATGAAGTTTCTAAAATAAAACTAACCAGGGGCCCCACCTAAGTTTTTCAAAATTAATTAATAACTTATATTAAATTTTTATTTAATTGCCGCTTAAAATCTGAAATAATTTTTACGGGGTGATCATAATTCTAAATATTTATAAAATTTATTTTAAATATAAAGTGACCTTTTTTATGCCTTGTTATAAATAATAATTTAATAAGTTAAATAATTAAGAATTTAAAAAAAAAAAATGAAATTAATGGGTTTCCTGTTCTAAATCGCTGAAAATTGTGAATCTTGCTTATATCACTTAGAAAATTTTTAAAAGTAAATTTGAATTTAATAACAATAGATGTTAGGGAAGTAAACACTTGTATTTAAGTTGAGTTTTTTTTTTAAAAAAAATACTAAAAATAGAGGATGATAATAATATGATAATATTTCTTCTATTTTTAGTAATTTTTTTTTTTAAAAAACTCAAATTAAACACTAATTCCCTAGCATCTATAAATATTAATTTCAAATTTACCTTAAAAATTTTCTAGGAGATAAAATCGCTAGTTCCCAATTTTTAGCGATTTAGAACCTATCCCCATTCAGTGGAAAACTCAATTTTTTTGTTGTTGTAAAGGTTGCAATTTTTTATTCGCTCCTTTCTACTGACGCCGATGCAATGATGTTGTTAAACGGATCGTTTTGAGCCGATTTTTAAAAACGGCTAACTCAATATTTCATCCAGAAAAATATTACGTAAGCCTAAAAATTTTGTTCATAATAGGAACAAGGGTCTAGATATATATTATTGAAATCTCGAGACTTTGGCAATATTTTTATGTCTAAAATATTGAGTTAGCCATTTTTAAAAATCGACTCAAAACGAGCCTTTTAACAACAACTGCATTAAAACATAGGATAGAAGCAAAATTAACTGAGCTTTTTTACACTTAAAAATGATAATATTTAAGTCATATGAGATACGGATATGTTTAAATTAATCCAATATATTATATTTAAAATATTAGATTTCGTCATTTTATAATAAATATTAAAAATTAATATTGAGGCCTTTAATCACAGAACTAAGTTTTTATTTTATCGCATTTAGAAGTCAAATTTAGGTTCTCATGGGATTACCTTAATCCTCAAATAATTCGATTAATAATGTTGTATATTATTTGTATTTGGGTTATATATATTTTTATTTTTAAAAAGAGTATAAAAATGTTTGAAAGGTGTTTTTCATAAACTGAATGCTCTATCATTTTAAGTTATGTCCTAAATTTAAAAAAAAAATTAAATTAAATTAAATTGCGCTAATTATGCGGAAAAAAAAATATAAGCCATTTTGAATGTAAAATTTAAATATTGGCCTAAATGATTTTTTTTTTTTTTAATTCGCGAAAATTTTGCGATTCTTAAAACTTTAATCATTCTATCGATTAAAATTTTGCGAGAAAAATGATAAAATATGCCTTTTTCTATACGTTCAAGTTTTATCGTCAAATAATATAAAATATAGAAATTAGTAAATTATTCACATCGAACTTTTTCAAAATTATATCGAAGATTCGGGACATGTTTCGTATCTCTCAGAACTCGCGAAAGTTGTGCAATTCGTAAAACTTTGGAATAGTTTTTTTTAAAATTTAGGACACAGCCCTTTTGGTAAAGTTCACTTCAAATATTTTATTTATGGGCTAATACAAACCCAGTTTTCCCGATTTAAAATAAAATAAAATAATACACTTTGGCTAGCAATAGGAAGTTTGATAAATCAACTGATTATGAGTATATCCCCCCCCCCCCTCCTACTTTTTAAAAGTCCAAATCTATTATAATGTATATTATAGTGGCTCCTAGCCTTACCCTTTATAATTTGAACTTTTCAAATCGGGACCATTTATATTTTTAAGCGAAATCCGGGACTCTTTCTAAATTTTTGAGTAATAGATTTTTTTTGTTTCCGTTCTTTAAATTATAATATTATTCATTCAAATATAATTTGTAATAATCTGTCGTCTCGTAATTTTTACGGTATACTTCCACGAGGAAAACGTTATTTATATTAAAAAAAAAATTAGGCGATAAGTCACTTTTCTTCCCTATATTTAACAATTTAAATTAATCTTAAGTGACCGCGCATCAAAATCAAAGAAGAAGAAAGAAAAAAATATAATCTATTTTTTTTCTCTTCATTTCTTCGATTAAAACGTATGATTCGTTTATATCGTTTTTAAAAAATTCAAAAGAATTCGGACTAGATAACAAAGAAAGAATGGGAAGAATAGAGAGAATAAGGAATACTATATAGGAAAACCTTTGGATTTAAAAAAAAATGATATAAGGCGATATACACTAACGGCTATTTGCACACCCTGCATTTTCTTAACATTTTTCTTAAAATAAGATAAATAACACACAATAGGTTTATCAAATTTATTTATAAGTTTACATATTATTGCATAAAATTACAAAAAATAAAAGACATAAGCAATTAATTAAGATCAAATTTTGGTCTCATCAATATGACAACCTTTATTCTTAATAATTGCTGCACAAAGTTTTGGTAATCTTTCGATGAGATTTTTTAAATATTCAAAAGTTATTATTCCATTCTCTCTCTAATACTTCCCAAAGGTGCGAATAAGAGGTTAGGGGCTTTTTCGCGCTTGTCGATCAAGGTGATCCCATAAAAGTTCGATTGGATTGAGATCGGAAGACTGGAATGGCCAAGTCATCAACTCGAGAATACGGTGTTGTTGTAGATTTTGTAAATAATCTTTGCATAGCCTGGATGTATGCTTTGGGCCATTATCTTGTTGAAATAAAAAGTTATTCCCGATCAAACGCTTTCCTGATGAAATCACATGATCCTCAATGATTTGCCGCTATCCCTCCTTGTTAAGGATTCCTTTAATTTTGACAATATCGCCCGTTGCCCCGGCACCAAAGCACCCCCACACCATAACAGACCCTCCCACGAATTTGACTGTAGGAATTATGCAGTGATCGCTCATTCGCTCTCCAGCTGAGCGGCAGATATATTGCCTTCTTTTAGAACCGAAAATTTCCAATTTTGACTCATCACTCTATAAGACCTGGTACTAGTTGGCAGATGTCCAAAATTGATGTTTTCGTGTCCAGTCTAATCGCTTGAGTTTTTTTTGCTCAAGAGTGGCTTTTTGACCGCTACCCTATCATAAAGATCAAAGCTCCTAAGGTGCCTTTTCACAGTTATGACACTTATCGCGTTTTCCCGAGTCAGATTAATTTCCGCAGCTATCTCTGAGGCGACAAGGCGTCGATTGCGTTTACTGATCCTTGCTATATACCTATCATCGCTTAAAGTTGTTTTGTGGGGTCTTCCAGGCCTCTTTGGATTCGATATTGTATTATTGTTTAAGTATACAATCGACTGTTCGTCGATAGGGTTAATTCTCTGGCAATTCAGTGATTACTTTTACCAGTTATGTGTAAATTAATTATTTTGCATTTAGTTGGAATAGAAATTTCTTTTAGCTTTTAATCATTTTGGTCGAATGTTCGTTAAAATTTATAAAGACTATAATTTCTTTAAACAATGATTTAAAACAAAAAAAAATATAGGAATTTTTTTTAAAATAATTAAAAATGGGTATTGATAAGCAGATTATAATGTGACAAATGACTTTCTTCAAAAAAACAATGGGCAACATAAAATTGTTGCTGAAAATAACTAATGAACCCTATTTTATTAAGTTGGTCATTTTTGACATGTTGTTTTCAAAAACTTATAGAAATTCCAAGTTTTTATTTCTAAATATGTATAAACATCTTAAATTAATTAATCAATTCGCTTTTATCCAAATAAATTAAAAAGTTTTAAGTTATTAATTTTTTATATAAAAATGCAGGGTGGGCAGTCATTTATGGCCGGTAGTGTATATAATATGTCCATAAGAGGGTGACTCAGCTAGTTCCGATGACTAGGTCGGATAAAAGATTTTCAAGACGAGTCGGACAACTTGCGCAAAATATTTTTACTGGTCAGGCCGGAATACCTTTTCAAATATTTCAACGGGCCCGATTGGCTCTAAATGAATATGACATCAACTTAGTATAAATACATCTTATAATTTTTTTAACACTATCGATCGGTTGCTAAACTTTCCGAACAGGAATCTCGGGAGATTGGATGTATCTAAGATTTGGATTGAAATGATACATAAATAAATATCTTCATAATTAGCCAAAATCTAGTAAAGTGAGAACGGCCATCTTAGACCGTCTCGATATGACCGGGTTTCCACGTGTATGTTTACATTTATTTATATACTCACATGCTATATATATTATATTTTATACAAATTTGTAACGAATTTTAGGGTGACGTCATATTAGACTTACCTCTGGGTGTGGTGTACCGACTCGAAAAAATAGGGAATTTATCCAGCCGAGGCGAAAATTCTTACGGTATCGAAGTTTATTGCAAAGTAATCTTCTAAAATTCTCCATTTTGTTTTCGAAATATTTTTTTTTTAAAAATAGTATAAAAAAAAAGAAAATTTGAAGTAGCCTCCATTATTTTTTGTGTACAAAATCTACGAGTATTTCTTTATTGGTGGGTAATAAGAGATCACTGTATCATTTTTTTTCTTATTTAGTAATGGCACCTGGTACAACAATCAGCCAATCGTAACCATACACGTTTATTGATTTAGATGAACCAAATTCTGCCATTTTAATAACGAAAATAATGTCCCCCATATTTTGGTCCTTTAATTTAAACAAAGCAAGTTTTTTTTAAATAGATGATTACAAGGTTTTATTATTGACAAACATAAATAATAAGGATTTGAGAACTTTGAAATTCGCTTACAAACCGGAAAATCATTCGCGACGGCATTTTTTCGAGCAATTATACAAATTAGCCTTTCCCTTGAATCATCATCAAGTCTATTATTAACAACAACATACAAATTAATGATAAGAATAAAGGACAGTTAGATAGAATCATGGATAGATGATTTAAAAGTCTATTATAAGGAAAGTAGGCTCTCTGGACCATGATTCGGGGTTCAAAAAATTTGAAATTGTGTTGCTGCCCGAATTTTGGTAAAAAAAAAGATTTAAAAGCGACCGATTTTCAAATATAAGTCCAAACTCACCCCGGTTCTGAAATATGTCGGATTGGGTTGTCCAAAAATTAGACAATGTTTAAAAAAAAAATGGAATGAACCCCGAATCTGATCCAGAATCCTGTTTAATATTCTTTTGTCCCCTCACCCTTTTCCCTCTTTCATTTAAGAAAAAACGAAAGTATGATTCTTTCTTAATTTTTTTAAAAAATAATTGAGCCCGACTTGGCTCGGCCCGTTTTCTAAATTTATAAACCAAACCCAGCACAGTTTTGGGTCTGGCCAGCAGGTCTTTGGTATTACGTATTGTTTATTTTCTTCTTTTTTTTAAATAATAAATACTTAAAAGCCAATTTGGGCCTTTTCTTTCAGGGATAATTTCGATGTAGATGGATGGAAGGTATATCGGGCCAGAGGAGAATACGAAAGACAGGTAGTTTTATAATTAATTTTTTTTGTAAAAAAAATGGATTAGAATTACCCTGACTAGTCAGCTTCGATTCGACAAATTAAATTTATGGAGAGAATATTGGTATCGTGGCTATACCCGCTAGCTGTACCCGTCAGGTATATGCCGATACATATGTATACGTAACCGATACCGGGAGCATAATTTTTATTTTTATTTTAGCCTACATTTAATCATAAACTGATTTTTTAAAAAAATATTTCACCCACAAATTTTAGTCGTATGAGAAGAAAAATAAGATGATGTTACCTATTTTTCTTATTTTCTTTTAATTATCACTTATTATATAAAAATGACATTGATAATAAATGTATCTTATGATTTTTTTTTCTTCTTTTCGTTTTCAATATAAACAACTTACAATTATAATAAATATATATTTTTTTGGTAATATATCGGCCAAAAAAAAATAAAATAAAAATATCAATATCGTGGATTATTTTGTCGCAAAAATAAATCACAAACCTTTCACGAAAATTGCAAAAATGGACGATATAAATAAATAAACAATAAACCATTATTTATATTTAAAAAAAACGATTTAAAATAAAATTATATTCGTAAATAGTGATGTACAGAAAAGTAGTATATCTAGCCTGAAGATTTTGCTTATAGATGTCACAAAGGTTTAGAAATCTATTAACGAAAAATCTAAGGTTTAATCAAAATTTTTATTTTTTGCTAAAATATTGAAAAATATTTAGTTAGCCGTTTTTAAAAATCGGCTCATATATAGCGATTTTGCATCACTACTCGTAAATATAGTAATGAATTAGGCCTAGAACAGATAAAATAGGAAGAATGGATCTATTCTTCTTCTCGTCTCGTCTCTCTCTCCTGCAAATGAAATGACTATAAAATAAGTATCAACCATTTGATTAGGAATTTCCTATGAATTCTAGCCGTGTTATTATGTCGCATAATTTTAGCCAATTTCAATAAAGTTTAGCCAAACTTTTAACTTTAAAAATAGACTGAAACCTCTAAGTTGAACCTGAACTTAAATATTGGAGCTAATTCTACAGGATAAAAACTTGAAAGAACCATTTTGGAATTGGTCAAAGTTAGGTGATATAACAACATTACTTACATTTTTTGTTTCCCTTCTCCAATCTTCATATAACAACTTAATAAAATAAATATGAATTATTCTGTTTAGGGACTCCCAGATGAATCCTGGCGGCTGACCGACATTAATAGAGATTACACGTTCTGTGATACCTATCCTAGCTTGGTATAAAATCAATTTAATATATTTTTTTGTGGTTTATAAGAAATATTATCTTACTTTTGTTATAAAAACTTGATTTCCTCGATTTCGAATCTTTTTTTTGGGGAAATTTTAAGGCGTAGGATCTTTTTTAAAATAGACCTAAATAAGAGAAAAAGAAAGAAGGGAGAGAAGAATGAAAGAAAGAAAAAGGAAGAAAATGAACATATATATAATTAGTTATTTATTTAAAGATTTAATATGTATTTTTTATAAATTTGGGCAGTAATAAAACGATTCATATATAAGTTTCAAGGATTGAAGAATGAGTGAAACGAATGCATGAAAGAAGAAAAAAATAGTCAACGAAAGAAAGAAATAGAAATAAAGGAATGCAATTATTAAACTTTAAAAAGGGTGGGACAAGGTATTTTTTTTATTAAAAAGAAATGTGTTTCTAAAATATTTTGATTCTTTCCATTTTTATTAAAATTAAAAATATTTTTTTTAAACGACCTTTCAATAACAATTCTTATAACAATTAATATATATATTTTTTTAAAGTAAACACCAAATAAAATTTATAAAATCATTGAGTTTTATTTTTAAAATTGGAAATAGCGCTATTAAATAAAAAAAAATTACCTAGAGGAAATAAGTGTTAAAATTAATATAATTACAACCCCCCCCCCCCCACCTCTTGTCACATATAAAAGGTTGACGACTCGTTCAAATATATTTCGAAGCGTCGTTGAATACAGATCAGCTGGTGACATGTCATTTATGTTTGCCGTGAAAATCTTTGATTTTTTAAAAAAAAGTTATAATAAAAATTTTATATAAATTATTTTATTTACATATGGGAAACTAAAATGGTGTCATCAGCTGATTTGCGACGGTGCACCTACCACACATGTCTAGGTAGTATTTTATGTCATTGATATAGATAATACGGAAGAAAGAAAGAAAAGATATTATAATAAGATTTAATTATTTTTTATTCTTCAAACTGACGTGTTTATCACAAAAAATGAAGTTATGCGTGCCCAGGGCAGCCGATGATGATATGCTCACAAACGTCGCCCGTTTCCGTTCAAAAAATCGTTTGCCCGTCCTTTCCTGGAAATGTCATTCCAATTCGCAAGATGTAAAAAGTCAAAATAAATTCTCCTTTTTTAAAAAAATTTTTATTTGAATATCGTTTGAGAATTTACTACAATTAATTTAGAGGTCAGAATCGTTTCCTTTCAAAAGCTTCCACCAAGTGTCAATCATATTTAACAGATGTTTTTTTTAAAAAAAAAGAATCACTTTCTTGTTTATAGTTGATTGAAATGTTAGAACTCTATGATAATCGAAGCGATGATATTTTATATTTGAATAAAGAAACACGTGATAATGACATAATGCGTTTTTTTAAAAAAAAATTGCTCTCCCTCCCATAATCGAAAAGTGATTGAAAGGGAGAGAGAACTCTATATAGTTTAAATCGAACCGATTATATTTGTTATTTATAAATAAACAAACGGCACGTAAATCAGTTTATGCATAGATAATCATGGATATTTCCGAAATAAGTACATGAATTTTAAAGAAATTATTTTATATTTCCATATATATAATCAAATTCAAGCCTCGAACTCCACCACGGGAAGCCTGCCTCGTGAGGGGTGCCCAACCCCTAAGCGGTCTGCTCGGGGGCTCCTCGCCGAAAATAGACGCCTCCTACTTGCGGCACGTGATTGAAGCCAACGCTCATTTTTCCCGGTACTTGACGGTGTATGACGCCCGGCCTAGGATCAACGCCGTGGCTAATAAAGTAAAGATCTAATCTAAAAAAAGACTTTTTTTTAATTTTTAGATTGTTTCGACTTTAAAGGGAAAATTATTTTTGTTGTCATTAAATGATGTGTACGTTGTGAATTCTAAATCTAAATATTTTATAGTTTGCATCTGAGATAGTGATGCCAACTATCCATGAATCCCCCATTAAAAATCTCTATTTCCACCAAAAACAAATTTGCTAAAATATCCATCTTTTTTTGTTAAATTTTTTAGAATTCTTTTTCTCCTAAATTTGTTGGAATTTCCTTCTTTTTCTCCTAAATTTGTTAGAATTTTCTTTTTTTTTGATAAATTTGACAGAATTTCCATTTTTTTGTTAAAATTTCTTTCTTTTTCTGCTAAATTTATTAAGGTTTTCTTCTTAATTATTTTCGCTTAAAAAAAATGTCCCCCTTTTCCCAAGATTTCAAGGCTGACAACACTCACAGGGCATAGTATTTTTTTAAAAAAAGTCCCTCTCCTATAGCATTTGTTTAACTTAAAACTCTATAGTATAAGAAATCTAGAATCGCTTTATTTGTCATTTATTATGAAGATTTTAGCTTTACTTTTTTTTTATTCAAGGCCAAAGGAGGCGGTTACGAGTCGGAGGAGCACTACAAGGACACCGAACTTATTTTTCTGGACATTCACAATATTCATGTGGTCAGGGAAAGGTACTTAAATACCTGTTTTCTTCTTCCAAATTACAATATCAGAGTAGATGATTTTGTTAATTCTTTTTTTCTGAATACACCAATAAACGCTGTTCGGTATTTTGCGTAAGTTGTCTCCAGACAGGTCAGTTATGATTTTTTTTTTAAAATTAGCTTACTAAAAAGTAGTCACCAAGCGGGTTAAATTTTTTTTTACAGCCATCTTATTTTTAATACCTCTATCTAATTATTTCCCTTTATCCATTAAGGCTCTTATATGTCTCCTATATAGCCACCTATTTCTTTCTAAAAAACCGTTTTATAAATACGATTTCATTTGATATCTGTATTGTGTATTTGAAATTGGATGATATAACAAATAATTTGTTTAATTTATTTTTTATACTATATTATTTATAGATAGGCATTTTTTTCCCCTCCACATTTAAAAGGCAATTTCAGAAACTTTCTACTTTACAATTGGAATGCTAGATATTTTAAGCACATCAATTCTCTCTGCCTTATGAGTATAGTTGTTTAATGGCTAAATGCCGGCTAATTTTGCTCAATCTACAGGGGCATGCCGTAGAATATCTGCTGTTAACTTTAAGACGTTTTTAATTCATAATCTTTCAGCGTTGAGCTGCTATATTTTTAAGAAAAAAGCCGAAACCAAAGTGATAGTTTCTAACAACTCTGTTTAGCCGAATTTTTAGCCAGCTAAAAATTGGCTTAAACGGCCAAAAATATTAATTAATAAACTATATTTCTCAATTCCGATCAAACAAGGCGATTTGGGACAAAATAAATTATCAAACTCTAACTTTTTGCGTATTCGCATCTCCTAATATGCTCCTTTTTTATGATCATTTTCATTTATCACTACTCTTGGAAACACTTTCTATTCTTTTTTAAATATAGCTTGAAAAAATTGACTCAAGAATAAAAATTGGCTTAAACGGCCAAAAATATTAATTAATAAACTATACTTCTCACTTCCGATCAAACAAGGCAATTTAGGACAAAACAAATTATCAAACTCTAACTTTTTGCATATTCGCATCTCCTAATATGCTCCTTTTTTATGATCATTTCTATATAAACACTTCTCTTGGAAACACTTTTTATAGTCATATCTTTTTCAAATGTAGCTTGAAAAAATTGACTCAAGAATGCTTCCCTTACGTGGACGAGGAACATTGGTTGACAAAGCTAGAAGCCACCCAATGGCTAGAACACATTAGGGTATGCATAATATATATATTAGCAGCAATGTGTTATTTTTTAAAGATAAGATAATTTTTTGAGCACGTTTTTTTAAATTTAAAAATCATAGTTTACCGTAAATGTATTCCAGCATGTTTAGAATACCTATCTTATGAATTATAGCTAATTTTACTTGTCACTTTTAAGTCATTTATAATTTATATGAAAAATCTATGTATAAAAATGAATATAAATTATATTAAGTTCAAAAGTTCATGGCAATATTGTCTGAAATTCATAGGAATAGGTATTCCAAACATGATGGTCTACATTTCTGGTAAAATAAATTCCTTAAATTCAAAAAAAAAGACGCACCCCAAAAAAATGATACAAAATTGAAAAATTAACACATTGCCCCTAAGCACTAATTCTTGATATATGACTTTCTTTCTCTCTTCCACCCTTTCTCTATATTTAGACTAAACAATCATCTTAAACAACGGATGTAAGGTAAAACCATCACTAAATATTGGAGGGAGGGATTATGTAATCCACGTATCGTTTAAATTCCTCTCCCCTTTCCTACCAACCCTGGAAATTTAAAAGCCTACCGGCTCATCTTTACCTATAAAAATTTATTGTGAAATTATTATAAATAAAGAGATGATTCATAAAAATGTTTTTATCATTAGCTAAACTTTATCGTATTAATTATATATATATTTTTTTACAATGTTTTATTTGGTTAAAAAATAAATCAATCACTCACAAAAAGACCATACTTTTCGGTGCTTTACGGATAGTCGATAAAATAGACAACCAACAATCTTCCGTATTCGTTCATTGCAGCGATGGGTGGGATAGAACGGCTCAAGTGCGCCTTTTTCTTTACAAAAGGATATTTAAAAAAAATATTAATATATATAAAGAAAGAAAGTAAGAAACAATTTATTTTATACATTTCAAACAGCTGACATCCCTATCCATGTTGATGCTCGATCCTTACTACAGAACCATCGAGGGATTTGAGGTCTTGATTGAGAAGGAGTGGATTTCTTTCGGTCACAAATTCGCGCAAGTTAGATCTAAATTTTTTTTAAACTCTCATTTTTTATGTATAACTTATGAGAAGAAATATAGTTGAGTAAGAAAAGTTTTGGTTTCATTGGTTTCGAAGTTATGAAGATTATAATCTAAAGGATAATGTAAAAAACTAAATTGATTGCAAAAATAAATGAAAAGTAATTTTTTTTCGCCTGAAGAGCTATTTTTGTACTTTATTGGTTTGAAGATATTAATAATATATATTTTTTTCTTTGAACATGTGATAATAATGTTCACCCACGCAAGTATTAAATGTAGAGCAGACCAAAACTTATGTAAAACAAGTTACATCGGGCGATTATTAGGAATTCTTACTTATTCAAAATGTTTCTAATGTTCAGCCGTTCTCTTGTCACGTTTTTTTAACCTTCATCTTTATGACTGACTCTTGTCTCTCTATTTATTTGGATTAATATGCATCCTTGATTTACAATAATAAATTCAACAAGCCTCCTTCAGAAGCCACTCGTCGATGGTTGTAAATTCCGTTATATATTTTCACCTCCATTATACTGACGAATTTATAACGTTTTCCACATTCTATTTTTAACCTTCTTATAATCATTACCATATTTTTAAACCCGATACACGAGATACAAATTTTTGGGAAATATTTGTATCTTAATTTAATTAATTTTATTTCAAAAAACAAAATAGTAATATTATTTTGATATTGGTTAATATTATAAATATTATTTTTATGACATTTTAATATTTAAATTGATTACTTGATCTTAGTTCATTTTAAAGGTTTTTTTTTATCCTTCAAATATGGGTAAATTATATGATACCTTCTTTCTTTGTTAAGTAATAAAATATTTTATTTATATTAAATCATTTACGTTTCTTTTTAAGAATCGGAAGAACTATCTATTATTTTGTTACATTATATAAGCTACTCGAGATATATATAATATATAATATATATACGTTGAATCTAATGGATAATTATTTCTCATCCTATATTTTGAACTGGGGTAGATTTATTGACGATATAGAGAAAAAGTAAAAATAGGTGAAGCAATAATTAGAGAATAGACAGAAGGTATTGATTACTTTAGTTTTGAATAAAATGAATTATTTAATTCAAATAAATGCTCCAATGGATGTGAACTAGGAAGCAATAATTTTTTAGAGAATAGACAGAAGGTATTGATTACTTTAATTTAGAATAAAATGAATCATTTAATTCAAATAAATGCTCTAATGGATGTGAACTAGGAAGTATTATGTTATTTCATGTAATGTTAAATAGTTATACTGACATTAATTTCTGACAATTTGAAAGTTAAAATAGTTGCTCGATCTTTCAAACTACACAATTAGGGCCTTTAGCCATAAGCTTTATGAAAAATTGTTATAAAAATTTAAAATATTTTAAAAAAAATTACCTATATTTTATTTTAATATATTATATTATTTGATTCATTATTTTTCTAGTCTTCCTTGTTTACATTTAACGGGAGGGAGGAAGGGGGAAATTTACCTCGATATCCATATATCTTTTAGGGGCTAGAGATATGCCTCTAGAGGATGGGTAGCGGATATATTTGATTCGTTTACAAAGTTATTATTCTAACGATTGGTTTTTTAGCAATAATTATAATAAATATAATAATAATCTTTTACAAATATATCCTAACTCATTTTAGTAATACGGGGTTCTAATCCGATATATTTTGCCGGGTCCGGTTATAATTTCCTAACCCGCTTGGTCAACAAAAAAGGGATTCAGGGTTGGAATCAGATTTAATGCGCTCAGCGATTATTTTTGCATATAATATTAAACTACTACAATGAGCTGAATTAGAGGGATACAAAATCGATATTGTTTGGCCCACCACGCCCACGATCCGCTGGCATATTCTTTTTTTATATCTATCTTATCTGATTCGCGGCCTAAATTTTTTTTATAAACAAGAAGCTTATAAGGAGGAAATCTCAAAACTCAAAATATTTATTTTAATATTATATTGGATTTAAATATTCAGCGATGACTTTTTAATTTAAAATTTTATTCTATTATTATTCTTTGTTTAGTGACCCTTTCCAGGTTCACCCGGGTAAGCCAGCTGCTTTCCTTCTAATTCCCTTTCTTCGTCTTCCACGCTTCCTGGGCATTGGCACTAGTCTAATCCAACATTTTCTTGTCATTATTTGCCAAATTCATTCTTTATCTTTGGTCACCACCTAGGTTTTGTTCCCCCCATTCCATCAAAACGACATCTATTTATCCTCTTTTTCCTTGGGCATGTTGAATGGAAAATTTAATTTAACACCTTTTAATTTTAACATGAATTATTATGATAATTCATATTACAATTCTTTCTTTTGATTCTGATGATGAAAATGATTCTTAGGCAAACGTGAAATAAGTATCTTATATAATATTATATAAAAGGATATTTTATAAGTTTAAAGCAATTCTGTATTTTTTAAAATTTTATTTAAAATTTTTGCAATTTTATATTTATCTTAATAATTTTTGAAATAATTTATTCACAAACCCAGTTGGGAATTTCATTTCTTTTTCAATTTTATTTATCAATTTAAATTATATATAAATTAAAGAGAATTAAAGAAAGTTTAACATTAACTAACAAAAAAAATTTAAATTGCAAAACCTAATTAACATAGAATTTCACTTATTCATGGATTAGAGAAAATAAAGAAAATAGTTAAAATGCAATTATATAATATGATATAAAAATATAATATTCAACAAGGCAAAAACATATGTCCAATTTAATAAGGATCAAATAATATCCAATCCTTTAAAATCAATAATTTTTGTGATGATAATAATGCAATAGTCGAAACGGCATTAATCTAACAGGATAAAACATTCACTTAGTTATCTATTTACAGATTGCACTACAAACCTATTGCCTATTATCTTTCATGATTCGAAATAGCCAATAAATAAAATATGGCTGAACAAAAGCCTCAAAACTAGTGTTAAATATTATTGGTCCTTAACTTAAAAACACGTCTTAGAGGATTTGATGGAAAATCATCCAATTTCTTTATTAATGAAACTAAAACATTCCCAATATTACTGCGTTATTTTAATGATGAAATAGGGTTTTCATGTAAATTTCTATAAAATAAATTCTATCCGATTCTGAGAAATCGAAGAATATTGCATTTATCCGAACTATAAATTTTTTTTAATATTTCGAATATAAATAAATTCAAGCGCTTTTTGTTTGAATTGACTTAGCAACTATGATTATAATATATTGTTTGATATATTAATAAAAATATAACATAAAAATTACACAATTTGTAACTGATAATGGAACAAACTTCATAAAAGCTTTCAAGTATTTTTTAATCACGATATACATATTTATATATGGTAATTAAATTAATATTATATTACACTGTTTATTTTTCTCTATGAAACCGTTTTTACTATATTAATTTAAATAATTATTTTTGTCAATTAAAATTTAAGATTAATAAGATCTTAGAATATATTGTAAAATCATATTATATTTAATAATAATGATTAAACTTTAAAAATAATTTTTAAAAATGTTAAGAAAATATGTTTTAATCCGCAAGATGGCGTTATGAGTATAAAAAAATTAGCAAATTATTTTTATGATAATTTAATTTTTATATAATATTCATGTGAAGTCCTCATACCGCATAAGTAGTTGGCTTATGGCTATATTACAAAGATAATGGTTGATGTTTTTATTAGATGAAGAGAATATTATGATCAAAGTAATTTAAAAAAGGATTTATCAAAAAAATATTCCCTTACAAAATTTCCTAAATTATCGATTTTTTTAGCGCGTAATAAATCAAATGTGGTTTTTTTTACTTTAAATTTTTTTGATTTCCAAAATAAAAACCTCAGAAAGGTGTAACTAATTGTCATTATGATTAAATTAATAATGCTAAATTTATTGTGTTTTTAAAAATAAGGAGGGGAGAAGATAAATTGTAAATGAGAGAATCCCATGAATCCAAATTTTTTTTCGCCCGAATCTAAAGCATCTACTGGTTTATTATAATAAAAAAAATTTGTAATTCACGAATATTTTTATATCAATGAAGTCTGTCCGGGAAATAATTAAGGATTTTTGATCTAAATTTATTCAAATTTGCCAAACGTCTTTTGTAATGAATTAGCTAGCGGTTCTAATTTTTTTAAATGTCTCTCTAATTTCCCAAAATCTCCAAAAATTTATTTCCGGTTTCTTAAATTTGACATCGTTCTGAATAGCCCGGCATTCACAGTTAACGCGAATTCGTGGCGACGTTAAATATGATATAAATATAATATTTTTACATTAATTTTTTTTATAATTTGCCACAAATTCGCGCCAACTGTGTATGCAGGGTAGGGCTCTTCTGATATTCCGATAAAGATCGGGCCGATAATTACAAAAAACCCGTGATCAGATATTTTTTATTGTTTATATTATTATATAATTAATATCTTTAATTTTATACATCATTTCAAAAGAAAACAATAATAAATTTATTAAATGAGATCAAAATTCAATTTATTTATAATTTTTAAAGCAAAATCGAAATTTTTTAAAAGGAAGAGTAGGCTAGAAAGAATTTTTTTTTCGCTATCTGCACCAAAAAAATAATTTTTAAATATCTAACTAGTCACATTTAAGCGAGTTTTTTTTAATGGGCTAATTCAAGATTTTCACCAAAATAAGTTATCCAGGCTTGGAGATTTTGCCCACTGTTAGCAGAAAGGTTTGAACATCTATTATCAAAATTTAGAGGCATAGGTTATAATATTTTGGTCAAAATCTAATTAGCTATTTTTAAGAATTGGCTTAACCGAGAAGAGAAGTGTTTCTTGGGCTAAATAAATCACGTGATGACAATGACTAAGGAGACAGATGTCATTTAGAAATGTGTTTAAAAAAAAAGATAAACCATAAACATTATTAAGAAAAGCAACGTCATTACATTTTTACTATATTGGTAGTAAAA